AATTTTTTAATAACCACCAGTGTCTCCTATTTCATCATTCCATTATCAACATGCGGCTAGGAAAATATGTCTTAATGTACCGTTATATACCGATATGATATTAGCCTTCTAATGATAAATACAATAGTCGCATGGTAAAACCATCAATAACAATAAAAATATCATTTCTGACGACTTCATTATGTTAATCGTGCGTGAGGCACTGGCTTTGTTGACACAACAGCCTTGGAATTATTTTACAACATGTTTTAAACAAACCTTCTCCATGTTTCGCTATGTGGTAATGCTGCGTGTCGCATGAATATCAATACGATAATGCATGTCCCGTCGCGCGTATGATCATCTCCACACATTCAAAGGGCTTTCACCCATCGCGCTTTATTCAAGCATATTTCACTTCTCGCATGATTTAAGATAAAAAAGCTTATATAATGTTTCATAGAGTTAATTCTGTTTTCACAAGTTGCACTTGTTAATAGAATTAAGATGAAATATAGGTCTTTTGGCGCGTTCTCTTTTGGTGCCACCGTGAGACTCTTCACGCAATCATTGCAAATACACAGGACACAATTCGAGTGCAATTACTTTTTGTTATTAGCATTGAATAACAAAAAGAATCCGTGTCAAAGCGATGCTCAGTAATAAACAGTAATTCTACCGCAACGAACCATGTCCTATGTAATTCAGCTAAAGTTATTAAAAGTCATTGATAAAAATTATCAGACATCCGTATGAAGATGTGACTGTTTTAAAATAAAGTGTCATAACGTTACAAGGGCATTATAATGTAAGAACGTTATAGGGAATAAGAAATATATATTATAATGTAAGAAACAATACACACCAGCCATTCGTATTCCCACCCAATTTCAAGTCAGAACTAACCGAAGGGCAATACCGAATTTCCTGGACCAATAAAGTCATAATAGATCTACGCTTTATGAAATGATATTCGAGTAGATTTGTATTTTTACTAGCTCTACCATTTTCAAGTATGCACTGGATTAAACTGTTTAATTGACATTTGAACTGAAAATACACATGGCATATTTCTGTGTAATACAGTCGAAGATGCCGCTCAATAATAAACAGTAATTGCATTCCACAGAATTGTGTATATGCACTGGTTGTTAACGATAATAAACTCAATTGATTTGACACTTTTTTTATTTTGAATGGTAATCAGTGGCGGCGCCAGGGGGGGGGGGGGGCACTGATGGTAGTGCATGTACATTATATACGATCAAGTCTGTATGGGTAATAAGTCCATGAGAACCACACAACCAATTAAAAAAAAAACTCGGAAGATAACCTCACGGACAAGACATCACATACATAACACACTGACATTGTAAGTAATAAAAATCACGTGATATGATCTGCAGGCCCGGAATACGTGTCTATTGTGTTGTAGAGGCCAGACAACTAACTGTAGATTATGTCAGTGATATTGGGTGTAATTTCTCAAAGGATTTTTTTTTTGGGGGGGGGGGTGGATGGCCGAATGGTTAGAACGTGCGCGCTTTATCATAAGGCCCATCATTGAGTCAACTGGCGTGGTTTCCAATCCCCAGTTCTACGTGACAAGGAGTAGGGTCGCCTGTCCAACCTCGTCGGTTTTCTCCGGGTCCTCCGGTTTCCTCCCACTGCTAAAGACACCTACGCGCAAGCGAATTATTGAAATAAAATTAAACCATGTTAGTCCCGAAATGACCTAGTTTCTGTCGAGTGGACGTTGAACCTACAAGATTTTTTCTAACCAAAATAATTCAGTCCGATAGTCGGCAAAGCCACTTCCAAATAAATAAGGCAGGCAATGGAAATGCTAATTTTATTCTTATATTTCTCAAATATATCTTATTAATTATTTCCGGTAAAGATGCATTATGCAAGAGTTTGATAAAGCGCTGGCCGTTCTTGCTATAATAGTTCCAAAATAGATCATTCACAATCAATATATTGAAAATTTCATTTAAATTACTTTATTTTGAGCGAAGTTATCATTGTTTGAAGTTTTGGCAAGATGTGGTATATACTGTTTGTTATCGTATCAACGTTACTTGTTAATCGAGACTCGGCCTCGCTTCTCCATTTTTAAATGAAATCATGAAATGGCGATCGTATTTCAATCCGTTTACATCTCCGCCATCCGATGTTGTAGAGAGTTGAGTGTAGGCTTGTCATGTGAATAAATGTCTAAATGATAATTTATATGACATTTGAAGCCAAAATAAAAACCTGCAATAGGCAGATTTAGCCTCTACATAATGGATCATTAATCATATCGTTTTTGTATTAAAGGGCCAATCCCGATAATATTTTGGAGAATAAAACTGCTTAATTTTTAAAAATTATGTTCATAGATATAAATAAGATAACCTTGGTTCGTTGACTGACGTTTCTAAAACAACCAAGTAAACATTTGATGGACATAACTTTTGGACCAGTATACGTTTTGGTAAGATTCCATTTTACAGTGCTTGGTTACTTTGGTTACTATTAAGTCTGCATGGGCCCCGGTGGCTCGGTGGATGTTCGATCCGGTGTGTGCCGAGAAAGTTTCTCGGTATTTTCCAGCATAATTTCCCCTTGTCAGTGGTACAGAACGGAGTGTCTAGTCGTTCCGATGAGACGAAAACCCGAGGTCCTGAGTACATGGTGTTGTGCATGTAAAAGCACCGGTGGCAGTAGGTCGTAGAGATTCCAGCCCAGTTATTGTTGAAGGATTGCTTTGGAATTAGAAATCTATATAATATCTTTAATTTGTGGAGGATTTTTGATATTTGTTGTTTTATATAGTTATTTAATGGATAGTTTCTTGAGGACGTTTCTGCTGCCTTTTTAATTCCTCTAATGTAAAACTGGGTTCTTCACAACAGTGTAATAAACCCAAATTTTTGTATTCATGAATACAATCAGATCAGTATTTTAAAGAATATCTATTTTATTTTCCAATTTTCAAAGTTCATAGACAATTTCCCGATATGTCGATTAGAATGAAACGAATTGCGCTACCTTCTATAAATAATGTATTGTGACAAAAAGCACAGTTGCATTCATCAATGAGATATCAGCCAAGATTCTCAGATAAGTTTAAAGGAGATATAAAGTCGCTAATATTTGGGACCTAGAAATTGACACAAATGGGTCGCAACGCATATAATAATGTAATATGAATGTATATAAATTGATTTACATTCAATCGTTTCTATTTTTACTGTAATTTCTAATCAGTTAGGTTCGGCGACACACGCCAGTATTCTCAATCGAATTTCAATCTCTAGCTTCTGGTTAATCCAGTCTACGCCGATAGTATATATTGGGCATGCTGTCCAGATAAGAATATAGCGTCACCGTTTGACATGACTTGTGGAATATGCCTAGCCTCGTTTTTCGAGTGCCTTATTACAAATAGCGCTGAAACGCATTATGGTACACGATTCGTGTACCGATTGTAAAATGTTTATTTTGTCTTAAATATTGGATATCAGAGGGCCATCTTTTCCCGGTAAGATCACAACATCAATGTTGATTTAAACCGACAAATAAATCGTGTTTTCAATGTCGAAGCTATTTTGGATGATATTGAGTTAGAGACTTTAAAGTGGCTGTCTTCAACATCGTTTCCGAGGCAATTTCGTGTAGCTCAAGCTAAGAGTAAATAATCATAAAAGATGATATCTTCACCAAAATTAGCCCAGTCGGAGCAGAACAGTAGAACGTTAAACCATCATTTTATTTCATTTCCCAACCAACTGTTTACGCATTTTCTTTAGCTTAAGCCTAGAGTAGGTAATTTTATAAAAGAGAGAGAAATGGGGTTTAACGTCCACTCGACACAAACTAGGTCATTTCGGGACTAACATATGGTTTAATTTTATTTCAATAATTCGCTTGCGTGTGGGGGTCTTTAGCAGTGGGAGGAAACCGGAGGACCCGGAGAAAACCCACGAGGTTGGACAGGCGACCCTTCTCCTTGTCACGTACAACCGGGGATTCGAAACCACACCAGTCGACTTAATGACAGACTTTATGATACAGCGCGCGCACGCTAACTATTCAGCCATCCAACCCCCCTTATTTTATAAGGGTGTCGGCACCAATTCCTTGCGCATTTTCTGTATTTTAAGCTAAGAGAAAGTAATTATAGAAGAATGTATCTTTACCACCAATTCCTTGCGCATTTTAAGTAACTTAAGCTTAGTAATTATAGCCGGGGATAACGGGGATGAAAATACCACTTCCATTTCAGTTCATCGAATGTAAAACTGAATTCATTGCACAATCTACTTACCTGCGACCTACTCATTGATTAGCTTTAAAGGCGTGGACAAATTTATCTTTTTGTGAAATATGTTGTGAAATGTGAAACTATACTATAGAAATAGTCACATATCTTAACATCTTAACATGGGCTTAAAGAAAGTGATGAAGACATTATTATTAAACAGGTTCAATCACGGTCGTTCTTTATCGATTATTCTCCAGCGAATTATTGAAATAAAATTGAACCATGATGTTAGTCCCGAAATGACCTAGTTTGTGTCGAGTGGACGTTAAACCACATCTCTCTCTCTCTCTCTCTCTCTCTCTCTCTCTCTCTCTCTCTCTCTCTCTTATCGATTATTCTGATTATTCCTGGTATGTTCGTTGTAAGTTAAACAATGGAAATTATTCCTTATAGAATTTACGGAAATTAATTCCTTCGGATGCTTAAAATTCATTTTTAACACAGTTAACATTTCGATATTTAATTTAATTACATAAGAAATCATGTGTGCTTTTATTGTTTGTTCAAGGTGCAACGCTTGTTGTGTTTCATTTTGCGAAATTTCATGTACACGAAATCTCCTATATTTCATGTCTATAAACAGTTGTCTTTGTATCAAATCACGAAAAATAACTCCGCAGCTAACATGTGTTTTTCATCAATTTCAAATTTCCCGTCATCGCGTTCTCCAATACACCTGTTCATTGACATGGGTTTGTTAATCCCTCCCCTAGAGGCGTGGCTTAATCCTTAACAGCTGCGTGTGATTGGCTAACAGGATGAAAGGAACTTAGTAGCATTTGCTGATTGGCTAGATCGGACATGAATGATATGGTTAAATAGAATAGTTAATAAAGAGGTGGTATTTATAACTAACAAGTTATACATGGTTTAGTGTTGTGGATATCCTTCTACAGAGTCACATGTTTTCCTACTATTGATACATGTTGAGCCCGTATAAAATCAGGTCATATAACGAACGCAGTCACCTTGTGAAACGTCTAGGATATATAGGATAACTGTTTAACCCTGACAAGATGCCTCGCGCTTTCTTAATCAAGAAACGCGATAAAAGTGAGTCGGAAACGCAAATCTTCAATCCAAGATCGGATAATCCTCCGGCAGCAGCGGATGTGGAAGAAGATGAAGAAACTATTAATGTTACCGATACTGATGACACGCCGATGGAAGTTACGGAATCTAACTTAAAATCAAATGAGGCAACTTTATCTCCTAAAGTTTTGGTGGAAGAGATGCCGAAACCTGTGGTGACCCCGGTGCCACGCTTGTCACCCATACAACAGAAGAGAGATATGTATTTGACAGGTATGTAAAATGTTCTATAGTGCCTTGGTCTACAACAAACAACTATTTTGAAGATTTGGATCTCAGAATCGCTTTAATTTATTAGACCGGTGTTAAATAGTTTCGGAATTATCGCAGTTGGTAATTTGACAAATGCAAAATGTTTTTCGTGATTGCTGATGGCCATTTGCTGTGTGAATTACTAATGATTAATTCTAGATACCATTTGTGAATTTTAGATAACAATTCTAGATACCAACTTATTTATTCTACAAACTCATTCATGTATTCTACACACTAATTATGTATTCTAGATATCAATTTATTTATTCTAGACACCCAATTATGTATTCTAGATATCAGTTACTGGATTCTAGATAACAAATCATGTATTTTAGGCCCCAAATTATATGCCCCAATGTATGTATTCTAGACTCCACGTTATTTATTCTAGACATCGGTTTTTGATCCTAGATATCAATTAATCAATTAATGTATTCTAGATATCAGTGTATGTATTCTAGATGTAAACTATAACTATGTATATATAGGTATTACCTGTGTTGTCACTAACAAATTTCATTCAAAGTATAATTTATGTAGGATATTTATGTATTATTATGGAGTCCTTTATAAAATCAAATTATAATAAATGATAAATATGAAATTATAATTTTCTAAAAATTTTAAATACCTTTCTTAAATTTATTATTTATCGTACTACATACTTGTATAAACAGAAAAGCGCGCGATATTATTATTTTTCTCACGAATTTAATCTGTCGTCAACTAAAATCTACTGTCATACTGTTAGTAATTGTTTAAGGTTCTCCCTATTGAATCCATCCCCATCGTTATGAAGAACGGTGTCTTTGTTGCCCCTCAAATGATAGGATTAATGAAAACACACAAGAACAACAATCAATTTCATGGGTCCTCATCTTCTATGCTATTTAGAATGACCTTTGTCCAGCTAATAGTCTTAGTATTCAGTGGTCAGTATTCTTGTTTCAATTACAAATGTTCACCTGTCTTCGGTCACGTGCCAAATGTTTCTCAAAAACCACCTGTCAGCTTCATGAGGGCTTTTTGTATAATTTTTGACCCTGGCACGCGACCCAACAAAGTTCAAATTCTAACCCCCTCAAAGAATAATTAGATACGCGCCACTTGTTGAAAACCCTTTCATCGGGAGATTTTTTCTTCTCTCTGGCGCGTGTGAAAATGACAAATAAATTTAAAGGTATTCAGTATACTGGAATCTATCACATGTCGTTTCAATATTTTTTTCTAAAAAGTCATTGTTGTAACAAAGTAAACCTGAGACTTCGTACATTTTTTTGATAATTATTTAACATATAAAATTAACCACGAATTTATCAAAATATATAGAGGATATTTGTCGTTTTAGAGTGAATAACATATTTTATTTCATCGAGAAAATATAAACGTTTTCTTGCTTAGAGATGAAATAAAATATGTTATTCACGACAAAACGACAAATGTTCTATTTATTTTATGATTTTACAATCATTTTAGGTAAAAACAACTAGCCAGTGGAATAACACTTTTATTTCACTGATAAAACGCAGTATTCCACTACTGATCATAAAATAAGTTTTTTTATTAGTTCGATAATACTACCTATCTTCTAAACCTGATATTGCCCAGATACCGAATATTGAAAAAGATATCCTATTTTATAATGTTCTAGGTTTCATATTACAATTCTCTTTTTTAACTAATGAAATACCAGAAATGTTAAAACGGTTGGAAGCTTCAAGGAATTGTTAAATTGGATTTCATATTTTATGTTTTTTTCATTTTAAAAATCTTTTTTCGTTAATATCTAATAACTAATAAAACACGCGGAATGTCAAAACATGTGAAATTATTGAGGAATGCTAAAAAAAAAATTCTTACAAAATATTACTTGAAGTGAGCATTTCCACACATAAAAATCTAAAAATAATACGCAATGTGTAATGTACACGCTTTATTAATTTACTAATTATTATGCACGTGCGTGGAATCGATTTGGAATTAATTGCAAGTGCTTAGAAGTCTCAAAGGGAATTGATGAAATAACATAAAATTAATTGGGCATATAATAACTAAAACCAACAAGTGCCGTGATTAAATAGATCTTTAATATGTGAACGTAATGATTAATTAACCATCAAATTAATCAAAGATTTCTGCTCCTAAAAAATACCTTTTAATATAAATATCAGACCTGTTGCTATAATTATTTTTTTTCTATGTTACAGGTCGATCGATGGAAGGAATAATAAAACAGACTATAGTAAAACCCATACCAGAGCGACCAATGATTCCGGTGTCACTTCATCTCCCGCCAACACCAGATTGTCACAGAAGACTCTCACCGCATTCACCTGCTGATCTAGATCGCAGAACCGGAAGTCTGAGTCCTGTCGATAGTCCCAGTTGTAGTCCACCAGAGCCTGCTCGATTCCACGATCCATTCCCATGGCAACCTCCACTTATCTCTAATTTACACAGTCACCCATTTTTACCGTTCCGCTTCTTCAGTGGATTCCCATCACCCCCATTGCCAAGAAACCTCAACGATTCAACGCTGGGATTTAGGCCATATGCAGAAGTCTCGTCAGCTTTCAAAGGACCACAACTCTTGCCACCGCCAACGTATCTTCCGGCGGGAATGCGTTATCCAATGAACTTTCCCCAGTCTCCTAATGACACTCGAAAACTTTTCGACGATAGACGAATGGACTTAGATTTCAGTGTTAAAATGGCTAAAGCACCATTTGATAACGTTTTGAACTATTCGGTGGTGACAGAACGCCCCGTTCCGGAATTAGAACTCACGGAGAAAAAGAAAAGTAAAGAAAACGAACCTATTCGATATCAGTGCGATTCTTGTAAAAAGAGCTACTCGACGTTTAGCGGTTTATCTAAACACAAACAATTTCATTGTGCCTCGCAGATTAAGAAAGAATTCAACTGTAAATACTGTGATAAGACGTACGTGTCTCTGGGAGCTTTAAAAATGCACATAAGAACTCACACATTACCCTGTAAGTGTAAATTATGCGGTAAAGCTTTTTCTCGACCTTGGTTATTACAAGGTCATATCAGGACTCATACTGGCGAGAAGCCATTTTCTTGTCAACATTGTGGTCGTGCTTTTGCTGACCGCTCCAATCTAAGAGCACATCTTCAGACCCATTCAGATGTTAAGAAATACAGTTGTCGAAGCTGCAGCAAAACCTTTTCCAGAATGTCGTTATTATTGAAACATGAAGATGGTTGTTGTGGCACAGTTGTTCATTAAAACTTTAAACGTGATCAAAACATTATTGTGAAGAACATAAACTAGACATGACTACAATTAAATATATCAAATTTAAATTTGAAATCGAAGGACACAACTTATATATTTATTTAGGTGTTAGTTTTTGTAAGGTGCCATTTTAAAAGAAACAGTCAAATTGTTATTTATTTTTATTTCCCAATTTTTATTTATTTTTATGTGTGTTCTTGTCAAATCAGTATTCAACATTTCTGTCTCTTGTCCATTTAATAAATGTTATTTGTGATATTATACTTATGATTTGAGTAACGTTTAGCTTTTTCTATACCGTTACTCATTTTAAAACGAATTTAGTCAATACTTTAATTCGTACCATTGGAACTTACATTGCTCTGCTATTACAGAGACTGTTTCAATTTGTTATTATGAATTATACTTCTAATCTGAGTAACGTTTAGTCCTTTCTATACCGTTACTCATTTTAGACTACTTCAATTTGTTATTATGAATTATACTTCTAATCTGAGTAACGTTTAGCCTTTTCTATACCGTTACTCATTTTAACGAATTTAGTTCCCTGCCCCCCCCCCCATTTATTTGTGCCATTGGAACTTACATGTCTCTACTATTACAGAGACTGTTTGAATTTGTTTTTATGAATTATACTTATAGTCTGAGTAACGTTTACTTTTATATATACCGTTACTCATTTTAAAATGAATTTAGTCGCCCCCACCCCCCCATTAATTCGTGCCATTGGAACAACCATTTCTCTACTATTACAGAGACTGTTTCAATTTGATATTGTGAATTATACTTCTAATCTGAGTATTTCTATACCGTTACTCATTTTAACGAATTTAGTCCCCCACCCTCTCCCATTAATTTGTGCCATTGGAACATAGATACTATCACAGAGACTGTTTCAAATTGTTGTTATGAAAACTTCCCCTTTTTGCTTTATACATATATTGAAACTATTTCATTTGTTATTAAATCAATATTTTGTTGAATCAGTGATGAATACTCTAAATATTTATTATGTATATTAAAGACTTACATTAGACCGTTGCAGTCAATATATTCTTTGATTAATTGTGTTTTCAATTTAACACCCCGGTAGTTTATTTTAACATGTTTTATTGACGGAGTGGGCCACCTTGCGATTATATTATGATTTGCTTTAAATTTAATCATTGTGGGACCCCTTTCCACCTGTCGAATAAACTGATACGCTCTATTACAGATGAGTGTTTGAGCGCGCGCCCAGCTCACCTAAACATAATAGAAACACGAGACATCTTTGGCGCGTGGCAATGATGTGAGCGGAGAGCGTGACATGGCCTCCTTCTTACGGCAGGTGCAAAGACAACTTGTCGTCTGCGAGATAGAAAGGACCTGCAAGTCGACAGGTGATAAAATGGCGCGAAAGGTTGATATTATTCTATCATTCTTTAATAGATTAGAACAATTATACTGACCTGAGTGAGGATATAGCCCCAAGTGATTTCTTTGACGTCTTCCCGCCACCCTCCTGTCTGTTGGCAAACGAAAAAAAAGCGGGAATTTCTTTGACGTCTGACTTGTGCACGCCCCTTCGTGACGCAATTGACCCCCGGTTACCTCTAGATTTAGACCCAATATCTCGCATCGTTCAACTCGTCTGCTTTATTAATTATTCCAGTTAATAATCATCTAAGGAAATCAACATTTCAAAGAGAGGCGACATGGATTTGCATCCTAGTTTACAAAATTTAATGATGCGGGACCAGTTATTAATATTGCCATATTAAATATGACCCCCCACCCCTAAATGATCACCAGACCAAAATGATTACCCCAAACAAATGACACCCCGTTTTTGTTGTTGTTGTTGTTAGTTAGTTGTATTTTACGTCCGCTTCCACCGAGGTGATATCGCAGGTGATATCCAGTTTAAATATGACCGACCTGCCATTCAACAGAAACAACAACCACTGATGGATTAACTGCAAATTATCCTTTCTGCTAATGCTTCGTCTAAATAAAATTTATAACCCGACTCTAGCCCTGGGTTTCCTCTGGTCGAATTACAAGATAAGTCAGCAAGTGTTTTCATTGATAAAGTGAAAAACAAAATAGCAACGAGTCACAACTATAATTTATATTTAGTGCTTAAAACCGAACACTCGTTCTTTATTTAAGCGAATTTGGGATATTAGTAAGAAAAGGATCCGTTGTCCTATTCACGAAGTCTTAAATTAAACTTTTTAAAGAATGTAGATTTTCCATTGGGCGAGAGCTTCAATTTATTTTACCCCCCCCCCCCCCCGGACAAAATCTACCAAAACCAAATCACACTATTTTGGACCCATTGGCAAAACAAAAAAAAATGTTTACCTGGATAATATAAAATGGTGGGAAGAAGGAAAAAAATCTATCAACCCAATGATAATTTTAGATTAATTGTTTATTTGTTTATGAATATAGCCCCTGGAATCACACCAATCAGATGTAACATTGACCTTTGTCGCACACCAGCATGAAATAAAATGGGGTTTGAAGTCCTATTGTTCGTCACCAACTTGGCTATTGAAGACGGGCATAAAATGTGCTATGAGGGGCATTTTACCTGGACAGTGGCACTACGGCCTACTCTTACTTCGAATTCCAACTGTTAAGCTTTCTTTTACGTGTACGCCAATGTGTACATGGGATCTCAGTTTTTCCTCCCACCGAACCTGTCCCTCTCCACGCCCCCCGTCCTGCACCACTGACAAGGAGAAACCACGCAAGAAAATCTCTATGAACACCGGGATCGAACACGGGATCTCTAAGTTAGCGAGCCAACGTCTTGCTCACTGGGTCACCGCGGCTCATCGCACTCCGAGCAGGGTAAGCTATTTATTTCTGGAACATTTAATGCTCCATTATTTTTGTTTTTTTGTTTTTGTCCCTTTTTGTCATTTACACCATTTGTGCCGAGATTATCCTTTCAAAATACACAGTCAAACCCTGTCTTGACAGCTCTCGTACATGAGGCAGTAAATACTTACTCTTTCCACAACGATGGGAAGGTCGCATAGCATATGTTTCACTGAACGCCATTTCCTTAAAGTATCTGACCGATATTTGAAAGAGTTTGAATCCCTTGCAAACTTTGGGAGTTGAGTGGCCGAATGGTTATCACAAGATCTGTCATTGAGTCAAGTGGCGTTGTTTCGATTCCTCGCTTGTACGGAACAAGGAGTAGGGTCGCATGTCCAAACTCATGGGTTTTCTCCGGGTCCTCCGTTTCCTACCACTGCTAAAGACACCTACACACAAGCGAACTACTGAAATCAAATTGAACCTTATGTTAGTCCCGAAATGACCTACCCGTCCCCCTCTCTCTGTCTCTCTCTCTCTCTCTCTCTCCCCCTCTCTCTCTCTCTCTTGCAGACTACAACCTTGTGAAAGTTGAAAAGGTTCAGTATTTAGAAATATCTGATGAATTGAAAATCTTGTCACATTTAGTTTCCTCTACAGATAATATAAATAAGCCAGTGTTGGGTGTAATAGTGTGATGGGGTCTTTTAAATTCAAATCGGGATTAAACGTGAAAAGGTACATATTGTCCGAAAAATGCAAGTACGTGTCGGTGACTTGATTTAGTAAAATGAAATGAAATGGTGTTTAACGTCCTACTGTTCTGCACCGACTGGGCTAATGAAGACGGGCATACACCATACAGTGTGCTATGAGCGAAAATTTTGCCCGGACAGCGGTGCTACGGATTATTCTTATGCAAGAGTTCTTTTGTCTGTACGCCAAAGTGTACACCTGGCCTCGGTTTTTCTTTCCATCCGAACGACTAGACACTGCATCACTGACGTGCGGAAACCGCAGCCAAAACTGTCAGCAAACTGTAGCACCATGGATCGTCTGTCAGACGCGGAGAGCGGACAACACCTAAAACCGGTCGCCACATCCGGCGTATAACCCATAAATCGTTTCTTACTACATATTTTGGAACTGCCCTTGATCGTCTAGTATTGTTTCTGGTCGCATATGTAATTCCTTAACTGGTTAGAACGTATCTTTAGATGTCTTTCTGACATCCCACATTAATGACAGCTTCATGTTGTGATTGAATATACTGCATGTTAAATGATATCATCAACAGGAACAACAAATACCACATTTCGGTTCTACCTTTTATATTAAGCACTGCTACATATTGATTACATAGTTACAAGCATTATAATAAATATAATAAAATCATTCTCTCTAAATCGCTCCCATGCAGACTCAACGAGTCGGCTGATGGAAATTCCTACATCTCCTCCTTACAAGAAATACATGGCTGTCTGACCTACCGCCCAAATCCAGTTTCTTGTGTATCCTAGATTTCCGCTACTAATTATTCAATTGGTAATTAATTATAATGATTGGTCACTCATGCCAAATATGAAATGGTAACTTTCCTATCACGTGCTTTTTGGCAAAGTATCTATCCTTGAACTTAGACCAGCTTTCCTGTTATTCTCACAATATTTCATAATTTGCGTTTTAAATAAACTCAAACCATAACTAATATACTGACAATGGAAAATACAAATAAAACATATATTTATTTATCAAATTATAAATCAGATCCTCTGGTGCACTTATATTCGTCTAATACAATTTCGCATAAATTATCAAATAATATTACAAAACGTGATACCTCCTGGTTAGCGAGCCAGTGTCTGACTCACTGAAGCACCGCGGCTCCCGGGTACTGTTTATTAGGCTGAGTATGTGTGACCTTCTCTTACACATTTGATAACAAGGAAGTTAATATTGGTTACTTTTTTTTATTGCATATCATCAGCAATACAGGATTTGTTTGTTGACACGGACAATTTTTTTTATAGGCTCTAATGTTATCTGGCGACCAAGTGACTTGTTAAGAGTTCACCTGTCTTATTTATTTACGATACTCGAGTAAAAAAAAAACAGGGACAAAATTCTTTTTCTTAACCCAGCTGCATGAGATGGAGTAGATCAGATTTATAAGGGGGTAAGAGGGTGTCTCTTAATACCCCTCTATATTCTATTAATATATACGCTATATGTTGGAGTTGCACCTGTTTTTCATTGTCAACACACATTGATCAGTTTGTTGTGTGACGGTCCCACTTGTTTCATGAAATGAATTGTCCGATTCACACGGCCGACAATGAACACAGCGGGTGGAATGAGAAACCTGTTATGATTACTGTGAATGGCCGTTCATATTTGAGACGATCAGGTCGGTTACCCAGCGAAATGTACTTAGTGTAGCTCCTAATCGAATAGCTCTCTTTCCGCCGTCTAATTGACCGTACACCCACTATTTGGGTCAGTTTTTACATGTCAACATACCGGATTTTTTTTGTGTTCTTTTTTTTTCTGAAATCGATCGAGGAACAGGAACAGGACAGGCCTATTTTATTTTTGTGGACCAGCAACTGGGCCCCAAGCGTTACTCATCTTGTTCATCTTCAACTTTAGCAACCCTCTTCGATAAAAACCCTAACGCTTCACCCAATTTGAAGGCGATCGACATGCTTGGTCCTTAGACAATTCCGCATAGATTAACAGATTTCGATTTTTGATATGACTTCAGAATTCAAAGATGGCGGCCATGACGTCATCTTCGATTCCTAGTCCATATAGTTCTGTCGTATTTGTTTATAAATGCTTTTTATTCACCGAAATGGATTGAGGAACAGACTAGACCTATATTATTTTTCTTTTACCGCTTGCTAGCTATATTCTTCACACAATACTTGAAAATACAAACATTTGTATTGAAAAAACAACCCCTCCACCCCAGCTCTCAAATGTCGACAAAGTGTTAACCAGACTGAGAATAAAACATATAACAAGACACTCTTTGTCTGCTTGTTCGAAGAGTTATGATTATTGACATTAAGATTTTGAGATCACCTGTGAGAACTATATTTGAAGAATGAATTTTTTATCATATAAACCACTAATCGATTTAATAGGGTATAATGCATTTATTATATATTGTGTACCGTACGTAATAAATAATACTGATAACGGGGTTTAATTTGCCGCCTACTTTTAC